CCCCTTTCCCACTGTTAGTTGGACATAAGATATTGTAAGACTTCATGCTCTCGTCCAGGATTGGAAGAGGGTTACGGGGAAGACTCGGTGAGTCAACAGTTTTGATTTTGCCTGACGTCATGCCCATGCATTAATGTACCACTAACAGGCGAAGATCTCAGAACCCGATTCGTCGAATCTATCTCCTATCTCCCGTAAAACTGCTCTTACGATACTTTAGCGCGCGCCATATTCACGCAGCCCCACGTGAATTTGAACATTTCAAGACCAATCTTTGGTCACAGAATTTCAGTCTCAACCATACTTGAGAGGACACCTATTATCGTAGAGCTCTATGTGTACACGGATAATCAGCCAATTTCCACCGCTCATTTAAATTTAGCTTTTTCATTTGCAGCCCTATTCAGTAGGCCAGTCGCACCTGCGTGATTGCGTAAAAGGTTTGGGCGCGCTCTTTCAGGAGCCCCCACCCCTGGCGCGCGCTGATGCCATCAGAGCACATGTTGAAGCTTTGGGCAAAGCAGATGCCCAACACGAGGATTGGGACCAGTCAGAGAGAAATTCGAAAGCAGAGGCAGCAAGGTACTTCCAGTACCTCAAAATTACCACGAGTCACGCACTTTGAGTTGGGAACTTGGCGACAGGCAGTCTATCACGAACCATCATCAACTCAGACAGACTTCATGAACAACATTCGCCGAGTCTAGGCTAGGCTGTCTAGTATCATTACCAGTGAGTTCAACTCGGCAGAACCGAGTCGGCTCTAATTTCTCGTGATTTTCGAGTTCTCCTCAGCTACATATGTAGCTAGCTACGTGTATATTATCCAATAAAACCGTTTTATAGCCGTCAACGCCGGCGATGATGTAATCACGGAAGATGCTTGGGCATAATCATTTCACGAGTCCTATGCAGCGCAATTCGATGGATTTTGTTGATCCACTAATTCTAACTTACCTGCCCCAACGAATCCATGGCGTAGTGAGATCAAGTTGCTGCGTAGCGAAGTACGCCGCACGTGCACATCGTGCGTGAAACCGATATAAGCTGAGCACACGCAATCACAATCCGTGCTTGTCGGCCCTTTGTATTGCTGATACTGTTGGCATTGACACAGCTGGTTTGTCCATATCGTCATTGCCTCTCTCCCTATCTTCATTAAGAACATACGATAGTGAGGCAGAACCTGTTCGAACCCTTTCAAGGAAGTGTTACTCCTTCCCTTGTTCTTCTTCCCAAGGCGTCTGGTTGTACATGCGTGGCACGCATGATGTGTGACGCATCTCGGGACTATCCTGTCAAGAGGGTAGCAGGAGATGGACCTTCCACCAGACATTGTATATGACTTTGATGACGCGTCGCTTAGAGTTACTTGAGCCCGTGCGCCCCAAGGAATGTTGTACGCATTGAGAGGAGCATCTTGCTCACTTCCTCTTCAGTTGTGACGTTCGAGCTAGCATTTTGTCCATCATGGCTAGTATTTCAGCACTGCTGCTTTTTGCAGGACTGCTCCTTGGGTCCAATGCTCAGCCTATCGGTACGTATCACTATGAAGAAAAGCAGAGTCCTACCGGAGATTTTTTCTCTCTTATATTCACTGTGGACGCGGACAGGCGTGTGTCTATGTTCTTCTACTGCGCGGCTGACCAACACTTTTCGGACGGAGCACTTCCACTCAAAAAACAAGGGGGAAGCCAAGACATCTACAGCATCGACTACAGCGGGACTTGTACCGGAACTGTCGAATGGTGGTATAACAAGGTTAGATCAACATGCCCATCAGGCGGTAAGCCTCCGCATTTCTTTCCCTATCATGGGAAGATCGTGAAAGGCGACCTCGAGACGTTAGAATTCTTATCACCAAATAAGGTCTTGACTAAGTTCGAGGGCCGTACTCTCTCCTTCTCCAAAATAGGACAGTATCTCACACCAGCTGTCTATCACTTCTCTTCCCAGACCTTCGATATTCTATATGAGGTCTACGGAATTAATTCTCCGCAGCCCAACGATGCCAATATATGGATGAGCGTGAGGTGCAAGAACCAGCCGCTTCATGGTCGCTTCCAAAGCGAGTTCCAGGTCTCGCGTACTTCTAGTGACACTTCAATATACGTGGATAAGGATTATGAGATCTCCGTGGCCTCTGTACGTCGCCTGAACCAACTCAAGTTCTGGTTGAGGAGAAGATGTGGTATAACTACTAGCCACGACGATTTCACTAAAGTACGTCAGGAGGTGGGTGGTAGATTTGCTCCAGAGGTTGTGGTCACTGTTCTGAATGGTGAAGAGATCTATCTTAGGAAACTTCCGTGAGGGGGAGTTAAACCTAATTTCAGAGGCTGGTGGTTGTTAGCGGTACTAGATGATCAACATTTCACTATGACGGATCAGTGGTCTTGATCGCTAGTAGTCTCAAGATAGTAGTCTCAGATCAAGTCTTGGTGGCTTGAGTACTTCGACGATCTGACGATAAGTTGGAGCCGCCTCCAAGTGCAACCTTTTATTTACTTCTATGTTCTTTGAACTTAACGGTGTTAAGTTCATACTCTTCTTTTTTGCTGTGCGTTGGTGGTTCGAGTCGGTACTTTCTTATTGATAGTCGATCTCACGTACAGCACTTGAAGTGCATCACCTCAGGTGATCGATGATAGATGAGCTTGAGGGCTCCGAACTTATAGAGGATCTAGGATATTCTTTGTTGACAGCATCGGAATATGATTGGAGTTCAAAAATTGAACCCAGGTACCAGGCTGTAAACATCTTCTGATGCCTCACTCATCATTCAGCTTTGAGTTATTTTAAATAACTTATTTACCAGTGGTTATTGGCTAGACCAAGAACACACTAGACTGTAGCCCACAGTGGTCATTAACACCCATTATTTGTTTTGCGATGCATTGTACGTCCTAAGCTAGGACTCCTAACAGTGATCGAGTGTACAATGTGTATCATTTCTGAGTCAGTAGCGAGAACAGCAACGTGTCACCACCACCACCGTATAGCCACAAGGTGGTCGGCGTTATAGACTATAAACCAGATTGCCTTAAAAAGCGTATACAGTCCGCAGACTCCCCAAGGAATAGTACGAGAGAGTGATGGTTGAGACAAAATTTCTACTAAGTGCCGCTGCTGTAGTTACCACTACGACTAGGCTGACCCAGTAAGGGAGGCGACGCCCTGGTTCATGATGATAGAGCCTCCATGAGCGTCGGAGTACAGCTATTGCGTGTCCTGGCGCGAGAAGCTGAACTCAACCTCTCAGTGAAGGAAAGGTGTAAAGCGAGTAAGAGTCAGTAATGGAATGATATCGTAATAACAAGTTCAACGCCTTAGGAGCGCCACTGCAGAGCATCCCATGTAGCAATACCTTGTGGAGAACGATAGATAATGTTGCATTGTGTTTTACTATTACATTTAACGGGAATATGATAATGAATGACGCCCCCAATACATTCTACTACTTCCATCGTAACAGGATGCTCCACCAGAGTCGCGTACGATTCCAAGCACAGCTGGAAGCTAACTCAAGTGAGAGTTCTCGACCTCGGCTAGGGGGAGATGTGAAGGGCATCCCCATGACTTGTGAGACATTTTTTGGCACCCGAAAGGAACGACGCCTATTCACGAACTCCGAAGCAACAGGAACTTCTGTTCGAATGCTTCACCTAAGCACGCATCCCTCCTGCAGAATGCGATCAACGTACCTCAGAATCTTTAGGTTCTTCCAGTTGGCATCTTTGCTCGATTTGTCTGCGGTGGTGAACTAGAAGATGTGTGCAACACTTTTCTGCATGAAAATGGTCTCTACCCTTCTCGCATATCCTGCATCGCCACTTCCAACAGAATCCATTTTTGCCTGCCGAGTCACTAGGCACTTTCACCTTGTCAAAATATAGCCTTGCGTTCAGGATGACCATTATGAAAGAAGAACTCTGAGATGGACATTCCCGGCGTCGGATGAGCACAATGGTTGTGTCACAATCTATTCTGTAGTCCACTAGTAATACTGTTGTATCGAGTAACCATCAGCGTAGAAAGGATTTTGGGGAGCGAAGAAAAGGAAGATCTGCGCTCAACAAAATACTTCCACTTGGCATACACATATAAGAAGACTGCTAGTAGTAGTCATTATTATTTTTTCTTTCGAGGATTTAACTCCGAATAATACGAATTTGAGATAGAATATTTCATTTCACCATCGAGAACGGATGGAATTTCACGAAAAAGTAGTATTTTTCCAGTGTTTTTCCATTCCGAAAACGGAGGGAAAATTTTTGGAAAATTTGCCCGGAAATTTCCAAACGCCCGTGCAAACACTATGCAACTTTGCGACACTTCGCAACCAAGGACGAGGCGGTCATTCAAGCTCATATCTGTCGCGATTTGTTCCAATGACCCACTGAAAGAGGCACTGAACCCAGAACATTGATAAGTAGTTCATATCCCTTTCTATACTGAAAATGTTCCTGTGATAAACAAGATAAAGCCGTCACAGCGGTTGACAGCTAAGTTGTCAACGGCATTCAACTCGAGAACAATGATGAAACAACAGATCTAACAACGGAACCTCGACTCACTCAATAGCTCGATAATAAAGCCTAGAAAGCACTCCAAATGATAAGCGCTCCCGTGTAAAGCTTTTCCCTTCGACAAGGGATGAGGAGAAGGTGATATTTATTGACTCAACGATTTTCAGCGTCCGTAACCCCTGAGCGAATTACTCGCTGCGAAGCTGATCACTTGCTTGAGAGCCATTTGAACGGCCTTGAGAGTATCCACCTCTCCGATGTCAGATAGATTGAACTCATTGGGGATACCAGTTGTCCTAGAATTTATGATGATGTTCGTTATATCCTGGCCTTTGAGACCCAGAGTAGCCAGCAAAGCCGCGACACCGGCAGTAGTGGGGGTCGACATCGATGTACCACTCATATAGCCATATGACCCTCTTGGCATGGTCGAATAGATATAAACACCGGGAGCGGCCACCTTTATAAACGTAGCAGCATTCGAAAAACTAGCCAGAGAGACGGTTTCAGTTGGGTCAGAAGTACTGGCAGCGATACAGAGCATAGATGGGATTTCTGGCGCATAGGAGCACGGATAATGTGCATCATCCTCTAATCTAGCTCTGTTATTTCCAGCAGAAACAATTGTAACATGCCCAGCAGCAGCAGCGTTCTTGAAACCAGTTTCCAGGAGTTTTTTCGGGATAGCATAGCCATATGAATGAGAGGACAATGCGGCACCATTCTCGACCGCGAAGTTGAGAGCCCTCATTGCGTCACTGGCCAGGCCAGACCCGTATGAGTCAACGAACTTCAAAATCATCAGCTTCACATGGGGCATCGATCCATCCATATTCGCCACTCCTGCAATACCGATGCTATTATTAGTCTGAGCGGCTGCATTCCCGGCACAGTGAGTACCATGGCCATTGTCATCAGCAACATTAGTACTGTTCGTTATGAAGTTGAAGCCAATAGAGTTGTCAGATGGGTTCCTCCAGAATTGATTGACCAAGTCGGGATGAGTCATGTCAACACCACTATCGATGATGGCCAAGATAACATCCTTCAGCTCCGGTCCGGCTGAGCGAACGGCTTCCCAGGCAGCCCCTAGGCGGATAACCTCGAGGTTACGCTGGCAGGAGGAGGCGGGGTCGTTGGTACCGAGAACAGAATTGCCACCATTACACTTGGTGGTAATTATATGAGATGTTTGGGCCGTATGTGATAAGGGATTCGGGACCAGACTGACCTCAGAGTCTGGCTCACATTCAAATTCAATGTCGAGCAAATCTTCGGCTTTCCTCAAGTAGTCCAGAATTTGACTGTGACCAACTGAGCATTTAGACTCTACAATCTGGATCCCTATCGCCTTCAAGTCATATACCATACCATCTTGAGCGAAACACCGCTCGCACTCATGGTCATCTTGGGTGAGGGCGTATGCTCTTCCACCGGAAGCAGATATGACCTTTGCCATCATATTCGGTACATGACGGATGTCGAGTCGGTTTCCACGATAAGATATCGTGACCAGCGTGCGGTTGGAGACAGCGCCACCGGAGGCTAGAGCATAAACAAGTAGTGTCGATAAGAATGCCGAGTATGCGAGCATGATACTATGAAAGGGAACTTTCCAGGAGTTACGTATACCATTCTAGAACCCATCAGAACTGAGTCATGCGATAATAAGTCATGATCTATATCCTCCGAGTCCTTCGAATCAAAAGTAACGAGCCGTCTGATATTTTCAGAGGAGCCACTCGGCAGATTTCTAAGACTTCTCAGCTCTCGGCTCTCTCAGCTTCCCGCTGGCGATAGCTTGACGAAAAATAGGCACGCATAATGCGTGCCTGGCTCATCGAACGTGTGGCCGGAACCTGTAGTTCCATAATCCTCGCGCAAGACGAGAATTATTTTTTCTGGACTCATGGTTTGACCAGGCAATGACATGCAAACTGGAGTTCAAGGTAGTCGATGTATTGTGTTCTTCGCATTGAATTGATCTCAGCAATAACCTAAACACATTTGGCTGATTCTGAAACCGGGATGCAGGGACAGCGATCGCACAACATGAAAAACAATAATTCCTCGTGTTGGAACTGATGTGTCATGTATGCGACGTATGTGACAACGACAAACGAGAAACATTCGTTTTTATTGATTGTTCGGATCACCACTCCTCTCATCGTCCATGCTTATTCATCGACCATATTGTTACATTATTGGCATGGACCTGTATTCTATACCGCTGCGCGTCGCGAGTGTCTCTGCGCCCCCTGTATGCGTGCATCCGAAATCCGAGAACCACGCGAAGCAGCTACCTGGGCCTGAGTCCTTGTCCTGTTACGAATGGAATCGTAATTAGAATTCTCTAATGAGTTGTAGGTTGCAAGAGTCATTATATAATATAGCAGTGATAGAATATATCAGTGATGAAGGTCTAGTGATAAATCATATAATATGATTGATCACGCAGTCCCAGGGGTAGCTTCTCCGGGGGCAAACGTAGCGCAGCGGTTGCTTGAGTCACACGCAGCTGTCGTAGTTCTCACGGCGTGAGGCTCACGGCGTGCGCTTGACCAGTGGTAATTCTAGAGTGAGTAGCTCTGGCGCAGTAGTGAGTGTAGCGTAGCGTTAATTGAGCGGTGATGGACGGTCCCCTATTGCGATTAAAATCCTACGAATCTAACTTGCGAGTGACAGCCCGCTAGCGTGTTATGGTATCAGTCGCGTTGACAGCTCCGAACAGCGAAGATTATTCATTGGAAAATCCCTTTTAAATAACATGACCGCCCTCCGAATGCTCATATTTACTGCTGTGACTGTGAGTGTAATGATTCAAGCGGCCGATTGTTAGGAACATGCTAATTGTTTTGAGAGAGATAAAACTTCGAGCCTTCGAGTTGTGACCGAGTGCGTGTCATCTCATAAGTACCAGCTGCAGACGAAGACATTCAAGATTACAAACAGCTTGTTACAAGCTCCGAGCTTCAACCAAATGTACTGAGGCTCGTTAGTAGATCCGACCTACCTCGAAGACCTCGATTTGACCAACTATTCACTAGAAACATCTACAGTACTACTCAACGGGATGAAGACAAACTGGCTAGCGTCACTAGCCAGGCGGCTTTAAGAGTTCAGGGTGTCTTCTTGTATCAGCGCCGGTTGTGCCCATCGCTGTTCCGAGCCAAGTTCGCCGAAAAGTAACTCTCTGGTACGGTTCCAACCGCTGAGCAGCTACGCTGTTCCTCCGCAGTAAGGCGGAGCAGTGTATCGCCATGTAAACGATTGCTCGCATAGAAGCATCAGTGTAGAGTCTACACTCTTATTTCGACTATACGATTACATGTCTACACTGTAGACATGTAATCGTATAGTCGGAATAAGATAGTCTCTGGGCGGTTATGAAATAATCATAGTATACCATGCCGTCACCAGTATTCTCAGCTCATCTAGATAAGCAATAGACCACTGTTCCGCTCGGCCCGTTTCCTCTCTGGCCACCAACTTGGTGGCACCAAGCTCTGACCAAGATGTTTTACCATCCCTATGAGGCTGTAGGAGAATGTATTAATGGTACAGTACCATCACGAGGAATACCTTATCCTTTTCAGGAGGAGATACATTCGAGTTCCACCAGTCAGCCAGTTGAGTGGGTGTTGGGGATCACTCGAAATTGGCCGATGAGTCCGGTCTCCGTAGGGCAGTAAAGCTTGCCTCACCCACAAATATATAAATGGCTCATAATGGGTTTTTGTATCATCCAGTGTTAGAATGAGTGCCTGGTTTCCCATCTTCACTCGAATAGTTTTCCCTCGCTGATTATAGAAGTTCAGACACGGATTCGGGTAGAACTTATACCGCAGAAGAGTAGAGAAACGAAGAAGAATCATCTCCTTGTCTGACCCAACGTGGGCCTGGATACAAAAGATTCGCATCAACATGTAGTTCAAAAACATATTCTTCTGCAGGATTTGTCCATTGGGAAAATGGGAAAAGTTTTCCTTGGGAAATTCCCACTTTCCCGTTCCCGGAAAGAACTATCAGTTTTTCCCTTGGGGAAAATGCGAAAACGCCTCATTTTTCCCTCCCTGAGCAGTGTGAACTACGGATCATACTCATAAAGCGATCATGGTTATCCTCGTGTTCTCAAATGTCCGTAGTAGAGTGCAAAAGCAGTGTTCTAGCCGTGTGAGCAATTTTTCTCACCATGGGCGCGCGCTTCTCCACAAGTTTCTCTATAGCGTGCTCATCATCGAACATTACTCTCACTCTGCCATGAAGGCTTGTCATTGCTCTTTTCCTTTTTTGTCCACGACCCCCAAGTTGGATACACGTTTCAGACCTCGAACTGATGAGTTCTACCACCGTCTGGTTGAATATGCTACCATCATGGGATGGTCAAGTAGATCATTGGAATCTCCGCGTCTGCGACACGTTATACGAGCGCTGGTTCCAAGTTATGGTAAAGAAGGTCATCTGCACGCTGAAAAAATACGAGCCATCAAGGAACAGTTATGCCAGGCTGTTAGAAAGGAGAGCGAGAATCTGCTGAAGAGCGCCAGCCAGTTAGCTATCCAGCTAGGCGCGTGGACGCCGCCAACGCGGCCTACGACTATGATTGCTATAATCATCTCGATCCCTCCCGAATCTTCACGCGCTTCCAATCTGCGACTCACAACCATCCCATGGGCATCTTGTGCTCTAAAACCTGGCAAAAGCGAAACCAGTGTCGAGGTTACGAAAATGGTTCAAAGTGAATGCTTGGACGAGTTGCGGAACAGTGATGCTTATAGACATGAGACAGAATGGCATGTGTACTTCCATCCATCAGGGGTATAACACAGCTGGTAGAAACCGTCGGGCTTGAACTCTCCTTTCGATGGACGATCCACCATGAGCGATAGACGTGGCGTCTCAAAGAGCTAAGAACGAAGTCCCTAATGCCGAAGATGTACTCTATCTGTTTCGCTGATGGGTTCCGGTAAGGGATCGAGAGCTGGCCCAAATACAGGTGGAGAGTTTCAAGGAAATGTGAACAGGTTTGGGGACTTGCGTTCTTGCTCTTGGATAGCTCCTTGTGTGCCTTTGCAATATTGTTGCGATTGAATTGGATGAGAAAAATTAGAATGGAGGTCCCGTTTTGGAGTGGATTCATTTGGAAAAGGGTATGTGCCATGTTACTGTCGTTTTCGGGAGCATAACAGAGCTTTTAACTATAAGCGCGAATTCTCTGTTGCTTCGCAGTTCGTGAATAGGCGTTGTCCCTTTCACGCGCCAAAAATGTCTCACAAATCATGGGGACGCCCTTCACATCTCCCTCTAGCCAAGGTCGAGAACTCTCACTTGAGTTAGCTTCCAGCTGTTCTTGGAGTCGTACGTAACTCTGGTCCCCAGAGTCTGGTGGAGCTATGATGGAAGTAGTAGAACGATGGGGTGTCATTCATTATCATGTTCCCCGCTAAATGTGATAGTAAAACACAATGCAACATTATCTATCGTTCTCCACAAGGTATGTGGAGTATCAGCTCAACACGGATGATATCCGTATTATGTAGTAGGATAGGAAGAGAATAGTTTTGGATGTATTAGTAGAGAAATTACAGCTTAGCTTAGTAGTGGGACAGCTGAGTAATGGGAGAGAGCAAATGGGACAGCCAATTGTGTTGAATACTGCAGGTTTCCCTCCTGCCAGGGAGCAGACATGATGAATCAGAGAAAAACGATCAGAATCTATATCGAACAGGCTTTCGGATTGCTCGACCAGATACTCGCGAGCGACGAACATCACCATCTGAGGTTGTATCTGCCTGATGAGCAACATGCTGCGGATGGCTTGCTGCTGATGCATCAGCAGACTTCCCCTTCACCCGCAAAGAGTAACGGACAGGAATCTTGAATTTGGCAGGAGAGCCTTGCTGAGGCATCGAAAAAGACTTCGAAGAGAGCTGAACATTGCGACCGCTCCTTGTAACAGAATGTAGTCCAGTCTTCAAAGGCTTAGCCAAGAACTCTGGTGGTGCTGGCAAACATTCCCGTACATGACGTTCCAGGGCACGCGAAGTAGGAGACGAGCCATAGTCCACGAGGTAAACCTTCACCCCTTCTTGCCGAAGAACCCTCATAAGACTCCAACGTTTCCCAACCTTGTACTTGCGATCCAAATCATGATTCCGGGCGAAAACAATGGTACCAGGAGCCAGAGAAACTGGAGGCTTGGCATGTAACATAGCCCCAGATCGGCGTTCAGAGAGAAGATCTCGAATACTCTCATGAACCTCGGCCCGTTGAGGACTATTCTGGGCTTGACGGAGATGAGGAGATCTACCATACATAATTAAGAAAGGTTCCACATGATGAACAGTTGTTGGTGTCGAACGTAATCCCCAGAGAATATCATCGACAATACTCGCAAAGGATTGCCTTGTCCATAAGAGGGAATAGAATGCCCCCTGAAGCTTCTGGAGGAGGATCTTGTTCAACTGTTCGATAACAGCAACGGGACTGTACGGTAAACTCACTGAGTGGACTGCACCAATCAGTTTGATATAGTTGTCAACTTCACCGCCGAATTCCGACCCTCGGTCAGTCCTTAAAACTTTGAAGGGCCCCAGGGAACTATTCATACTCTTAAGAGCATCAGTAATATTCCTCGATGATTTTGAAGACAGTTCTCTGACTTCGGGCCAACTACTAAAAAGACATACAGCAGTAAGGAGTAGTCTATGACCAGTAGGGGTAGAGACAGATAAAACGTCTGCAGCTACTGTATGCCAGGGACTTGGTGGAGCAGTTCGTTGTACACCCTTTCTGAGACCAACGCAGCTTGAAAAGGTCTTAATGGCACGGATTATACGTTGAATACCAGGATGGAATACTGCAGCTTGACTATGGAAATAATTCAATACTACCGGTTCCAAAGAAGATGGAAGGACCGGTACCAAAACAACATCAGTGATATAACATGGATCATTCGCTGGTAAAAGCCGCCAAAGAAGACCATGACGTACCAGCAGAGTATTCCAAACAAGCCTAAATACTGTAGGGATAGAGGTAGGCACCAGCTCTTTATCATCGCTCATGAGTAAGGAAACGGCTTGTTTGATATCACTATCAGCAGACTGGTGATGAGATATCTCAGCCATAGAAGGAAGAGGAGAAATCGACAAAGTATTCGCAACAGTCGCAACAAATACCTCACAATGCTGATCCCGTTCGGATAGTTCGTCATTATTGTCAAACCGAGGCTCACTAGTAACAGCACTAACATCCAGGTCTTTAGTCTTAGCAAACTCAAGGAACCGCTGGAGTAAACCATGTCTTGTTAGATCATCGGCAGGATTTTGCTGTGTTACCACTCGCTCCACAATTATTCTTCGATTGAAGTCCAAGGGGTCGAAGAGTGCATGAGTCATAGCCAAGTACTTCAAGATAATTGGTTTGACGTCCTTGTTGCTAAAAGATGCCGGCCTCCCAGCACTAAAAGTCACTTCAACCGCCACATTGTCCACATGATAATACACCTTGTTGAACCGTCTTCTCGCAGCTAGCTCGAGTCTATGTACCATAGCGAAACCTTTATAGAGGATATGAGCCTCCAAGCAGGCTATCGGTAGATGAGATTCAGCAGTGGAGAAAACATGGACACGTTCCAAATAGTTCTGGTCGTCCTGTCTAAGGAGAGAACCACCATGATACTTAGATGAATCAGTAAAAACGTGTAGTGGTTCATTAAACCGAAACAACCGAGGTATAGTGAACGATGACTGAGGTAGCTTAGTAACCATTCGATGCCAATCCAAAATAAGAGCTCGTAAAGCTTCCGAACATGGAGATGACCAAGTCGACTGAGTAGAAAAGCGCTCTTTCGCTACCAAACTTTGAGCGAAATGCTTCAAAGCTGCTACCCAAGCCGGTACTGTAGGGGACTCATCCAAGGTACCCAGAGTACTTAGTAAGACAGAATAGAAACAACCCGAATACGGTACACGAGACTTCAGCACATCCAACTTCTGCGCTGCCATTGTCATATACCTTCCATTGTCGATGTAAGTCACGCCTAGCATGTTTGAATCCATCTCAGTCAAGGCTTGACGTTTGGCAGGCTTAAACTTTGAGTCATGATCTTTGCAAATGGTTGAAAGTTCCCATTCAACCGGAGGATTTTATTCTGATATGTGAGTAGAGACTCACTACCAGAATCCAGAGTTCGACGATACAACTGCTCGCTGCTCTGCATCTGGGTAGCAATATTCAACTTGTGGGAGAGATTCTTAACCAGGCTGACCATTGTATCTTTCTCATTTAGCTTGAGCTCATCATAAACAATCCATGCATCACCTCGGAGTAGAGGTGGTAGATGCTTCAACTGGTCGTCGTCTTCCCACTTGTTAGCCGTTGCACACGCCTTGAACTTCCGCACCCATTGCTCGAAGTCCAAAGGATTTGTCAGAGGGTCGGAGCTCTCAGGTAAGGCAAAATACAGGCTCGGGTCCATGAACAAGCAGCTGCTACTCTGGAATATCAACTCAACACGGATGATATCCGTATTATGTAGTAGGATAGGAAGAGAATAGTTTTGGATGTATTAGTAGAGAAATTACAGCTTAGCTTAGTAGTGGGATAGCTGAGTAATGGGAGAGAGCAAATGGGACAGCCAATTGTGTTGAATACTGCATATGGCTACACGGGATGCTCTGCTGTAGCGCTCCTAAGGCGTTGAACTACGATATCATTCCATTACTGACTCTTATTCGCTTTACACCTTTCCTTCTCTGAGAGGTAGAGTTCAGCTTCTCGCGCCAGGACACGCAATAGCTGTACTCCGACGCTCATGGAGGCTCTATAATCATGAACCAGGGCGTCGCCTCCCTTACTGAGTCAGCCTAGTCGTAGTGGTAACTACAGCAGCGGCACTTAGTTGAAATTTTGTCTCAACCATCACTCTCTCGTACTATTCCTTGGGGAGTCTGCGGACTGTATACGCTTTTTAAGGCAATCTGGTTTATAGTCTATAACGCCGACCACCTTGTGGCTATACGGTGGTGGTGGTGACACGTTGCTGTTCTCGCTACTGACTCAGAAATGATACACATTGTACACTCGATCACTGTTAGGAGTCCTAGCTTAGGACGTACAATGCATCGCAAAACAAATAATGGGTGTTAATGACCACTGTGGGCTACAGTCTAGTGTGTTCTTGGTCTAGCCAATAACCACTGGTAAATAAGTTATTTGGAATAACTCAAAGCTGAATGATGAGTGAGGCATCAGAAGATGTTTACAGCCTGGTACCTGAGTTCTATTTTTGAACTCCAATCATATTCCGATGCTGTCAACAAAGAATATCCTAGATCCTCTATAAGTTCGGAGCCCTCAAGCTCATCTATCATCGATCACCTGAGGTGATGCACTTCAAGTGCTGTACGTGAGATCGACTATCAATAAGAAAGTACCGACTCGAACCACCAACGCACAGCAAAAAAGAAGAGTATGAACTTAACACCGTTAAGTTCAAAGAACAGAGAAGTAAATAAAAGGTTGCACTTGGAGGCGGCTCCAACTTATCGTCAGATCGTCGAAGTACTCAAGCCACCAAGACTTGATCTGAGACTACTATCTTGAGACTACTAGCGATCAAGACCACTGATCCGTCATAGTGAAATGTTGATCATCTAGTACCGCTAACAACCACCAGCCTCTGAAATTAGGTTTAACTCCCCCTCACGGAAGTTTCCTAAGATAGATCTCTTCACCATTCAGAACAGTGACCACAACCTCTGGAGCAAATCTACCACCCACCTCCTGACGTACTTTAGTGAAATCGTCGTGGCTAGTAGTTATACCACATCTTCTCCTCAACCAGAACTTGAGTTGGTTCAGGCGACGTACAGAGGCCACGGAGATCTCATAATCCTTATCCACGTATATTGAAGTGTCACTAGAAGTACGCGAGACCTGGAACTCGCTTTGGAAGCGACCATGAAGCGGCTGGTTCTTGCACCTCACGCTCATCCATATATTGGCATCGTTGGGCTGCGGAGAATTAATTCCGTAGACCTCATATAGAATATCGAAGGTCTGGGAAGAGAAGTGATAGACAGCTGGTGTGAGATACTGTCCTATTTTGGAGAAGGAGAGAGTACGGCCCTCGAACTTAGTCAAGACCTTATTTGGTGATAAGAATTCTAACGTCTCGAGGTCGCCTTTCACGATCTTCCCATGATAGGGAAAGAAATGCGGAGGCTTACCGCCTGATGGGCATGTTGATCTAACCTTGTTATACCACCATTCGACAGTTCCGGTACAAGTCCCGCTGTAGTCGATGCTGTAGATGTCTTGGCTTCCCCCTTGTTTTTTGAGTGGAAGTGCTCCGTCCGAAAAGTGTTGGTCAGCCGCGCAGTAGAAGAACATAGACACACGCCTGTCCGCGTCCACAGTGAATATAAGAGAGAAAAAATCTCCGGTAGGACTCTGCTTTTCTTCATAGTGATACGTACCGATAGGCTGAGCATTGGACCCAAGGAGCAGTCCTGCAAAAAGCAGCAGTGCTGAAATACTAGCCATGATGGACAAAATGCTAGCTCGAACGTCACAACTGAAGAGGAAGTGAGCAAGATGCTCCTCTCAATGCGTACAACATTCCTTGGGGCGCACGGGCTCAAGTAACTCTAAGCGACGCGTCATCAAAGTCATATACAATGTCTGGTGGAAGGTCCATCTCCTGCTACCCTCTTGACAGGATAGTCCCGAGATGCGTCACACATCATGCGTGCCACGCATGTACAACCAGACGCCTTGGGAAGAAGAACAAGGGAAGGAGTAACACTTCCTTGAAAGGGTTCGAACAGGTTCTGCCTCACTATCGTATGTTCTTAATGAAGATAGGGAGAGAGGCAATGACGATATGGACAAACCAGCTGTGTCAATGCCAACAGTATCAGCAATACAAAGGGCCGACAAGCACGGATTGTGATTGCGTGTGCTCAGCTTATATCGGTTTCACGCACGATGTGCACGTGCGGCGTACTTCGCTACGCAGCAACTTGATCTCACTACGCCATGGATTCGTTGGGGCAGGTAAGTTAGAATTAGTGGATCAACAAAATCCATCGAATTGCGCTGCATAGGACTCGTGAAATGATTATGCCCAAGCATCTTCCGTGATTACATCATCGCCGGCGTTGACGGCTATAAAACGGTTTTATTGGATAATATACACGTAGCTAGCTACATATGTAGCTGAGGAGAACTCGAAAATCACGAGAAATTAGAGCCGACTCGGTTCTGCCGAGTTGAACTCACTGGTAATGATACTAGACAGCCTAGCCTAGACTCGGCGAATGTTGTTCATGAAGTCTGTCTGAGTTGATGATGGTTCGTGATAGACTGCCTGTCGCCAAGTTCCCAACTCAAAGTGCGTGACTCGTGGTAATTTTGAGTTACTGGAAGTACCTTGCTGCCTCTGCTTTCGAATTTCTCTCTGACTGGTCCCAATCCTCGTGTTGGGCATCTGCTTTGCCCAAAGCTTCAACATATGCCATGATGGCATCAGCGCGCGCCAGGGGTGGGGGCTCCTGAAAGAGCGCGCCCAAACCTTTTACGCAATCACGCAGGTGCGACTGGCCTACTGAATAGGGCTGCAAATGAAAAAGCTAAATTCAAATGAGCGGTGGAGATAGGCTGACTATCCGTGTACACATAGAACTTTACGCTAATGGGTGCCCTCCCAAGTATGGTTGAAACTGAAATTCTGTGACCAAAGATTGGTTTTGAAATGTTTGAATTCACGTGGGGCTACGTGATCATGGCGCGCGCTAAAGTATCGTAAGAGCAGTTTTACGGGAGATAGGAGATAGATTCGACGAATCGGGTTCTGAGACCTTCGCCTGTTAGTGGTACATTAATGTATGGGCATGACGTCAGGCAAAATCAAAACTTTTGGCTCACCGAGTGGTTCTCTGTTGACTCGCGTGGTTCTCGGATTTCGGATGCACGCATACAGGGGGCGCAGAGTCACTCGCGATGCGCAGCGGTATAGAATACAGCTCCACGACAATAATGTATCGATTTGTGAGAATGCATCCCAGGGGGAGAATTTTTTCAATTCAAGCCGTTCACCTCAAATCCACTCGTAAGCTATTCAAATGCAATGTGTCTATCCATGGACGTTGACGACGTATACGAACAGCGGAGCGGAGAGTGGAGTACACTTACGGAACGTGAGTTACACTGGGCCACGGAATGACCTTCACGTCAACACGTGACGCTACGTCATATCGCCCCGCTCACTTGTTTGTTAACGAGATTTTTTATGGCTACATTCTACTTCATTACGCACAGACTCTTCTACGTCATTGTTGCAGTGGCCGGCTTTGACTATTTCCGCGGACTTGGCCCAGTAAACGGCGATCCGAACGATGAATACTATCCCCAGCAGAGGGCTTATCTGGAGGCCATCTCCGTACCAAAGGCTTGGAACATCCTGGACTCTACTTCCAAGAGGACACCTGTAACCATCGCCGTTATCGACGATGGCGTGCAAGCCGATCACCCTGACTTGCAAGGGGTTGTCTCTGAGGGCTATAACGTTATTGATAAGAATACTGATATTCATCCCCGAGGACCGCATGGAACTATAATTTCTGGCATCCTCGGTGCTATCAGGAATAACAAGATTGGTATCGCGGGTATCGCCGACCATCTCCGTATCATGCCTATCTATATAAGCGACAAGCCGTCTTTTGGAGGGATGACTGATGCTTTCACCTATCTCATTTCTAAGAGGCCAGATGTGAAAGTAATCCTCTTTTCGCAGGGATTCAAAACTTACTACCAACCCCTGTTGAAGAAGATTCTCGAAGCAGTGTCAGCTGGCATGCTAGTGGTTGTGGCGGCAGGAAATGACCACTTAGACCTGGACACGGAAGAATACTATCCTTGTTCTCTCAGCGGACCCTATACGGACGGCGTTATATGTGTGGCTGCGACAAATGGTGCAAGAATGCAGTTGGACGACGAGAGCAATTTTGGTTCAGCTGTTGACATCGCCGCTCCTGGCTACCAAATACTGGCAACTACTCCTACTGGAAAGTATGGAAAGGGTACAGGTACCTCAGGGGCCGCAGCCATCATAGCAGGTATAGCTGGAATGCTCTATAGCCTCGAACCTTCTCAGCATGCTAAGCTTACCCCAGGTTATATCCGAAGTATCATCAAGAATACGGCCACGCCAGGCGTGATGGATAGCAAAGGGGGGAAGGTTCTCACTTTCGGCCGCGTGAATGCTGAGGCGGCTGTACGAGAAATACTTGGAAAGTAGAGGATTGCTCTCATCAAGGTTTTAGCTCGATGATGGAAAATCACCCCCGAGTGGGTCGAGTCTTTCCAGGCATTCTGGAAAGAGTCTGGGAAGATCCGTAAACTTGACGTGGTTCATTTTCGTTTTTTTTTTGTTACCTCCCGCATATCAAACATTATGAGTATGTTATTCGACATCATATGTGGTAGTGATGCTTCTCCAGCTGAGCTACCGACTCACTTTTCACTTTATTTGCGAACTATCAACTCATCTTCGCCCCGCGAATGACTACACTTCAGAATTCTATCGCTTGTGTTCTTATACAGGGTATTATAGTTCATCGAAAAATATACATTTCGAGCAATTCAGTTAAATGTGAAACTATGGAGTGTCGAAAATTTTGTATCCTTGTGTTAAACGAATCGTGTCGGACTTTCCACTGCTCATCGCGCTCTCGCCAAGAGATTATTCAACGCGTGGAGGGCGCTTCGCACTGTCCACCGATTCATCAGCTTCTTCCCCACCCGCGAGACGTATCAATCATACACGCTGTATGATACACTATAAAAAAGCTCGCGAATTCTTACATAACCTAGTTGCAGCGTGACAGACA